CCGCCGCTGGGGCCCCGGCGGCCCCGAGGTGCGCGCGTCGGGGTCGCGGGGGCAGCAGCCCGGCCGCCCGCCGGGTCCCCGTGTTGCGGGCGCTGCGGGTCCGCGCGCCCCGCGGGCTCGGGCGTTGGGGCCGAGAGGAAGCCGGCCACGGCGGCGGGGCCGGGCGTAGGAGCGGGTCCTCGGGCTCCGGAGTCCCGGGGTCGGGACGGAGCCGGCTAGGGGCGGTGTGCGAGCGGGTCCGCGCGCCCGCGGGCTCGGGGTCGGGAGTGGAGACGAAACCGACCGCGGGCGACGGGGGGCGGGAGCTGGACAGGGTCTTCTCGCTGCGGGGGCTCCGGGGCCGGGTCGGGACGGCGCCAGCGGCCGGGCACGTCCGTGTGCCCCGCGGGGCTGGGGGGTTCCGGAGGGGGTAGGGGGAGTGGAACCGACCGGCGACAGGTGCGGGAGCGGGTCCTCGCTTCCCGTGGGATTGATTAGGGTCCCGGGGCTCCGGTTGGAGCCGACCGCGGGCGGTGGGGGCGAGCGTGGGAGCCGGGTCCGGAGGCTGGAGTGGAGCCCGGCCGGGTCGGTTCCGGCGCTGACCGCGCTCCGTGGCCGCAGGTGCAGCCCACAGCCATGGTGATCATGTCGGAGTTCGGCGCGGCCCCCGCGGGCTCGGGCCAGCAGAAGCCCCTCCGGGTGGGCTTTTACGACGTGGAGCGGACCCTGGGCAAAGGCAATTTCGCAGTGGTGAAGCTGGCGCGGCATCGGGTCACCAAAACTCAGGTGCGTGGGGCTCCCCGACCCGCCGGGGTGGACCCGTGTCGAGAGCGCCTGCAGGGTTGCTCGCCATCGTGGGCAAACGCTGGCAGCGTTAGTTTGGTAAAGAAGCTGCTTTATATACCCTTCTGCATAATTTGTACAAATATTAGGAGACAGCAAAGAAGATAATGACCAGAAAAAAAGACCCAGGAGTGCGGTGGTTCATGGATTCAGAGCTAAAGCCTTGTAAAGGGGGCCTGCGGATACTAAAGACACTTACATTTAACTTTGAGTGTGCTAAATAATATTAGTGGTTGTTTTGGTTATTTCCCCCTCAACTTTTTGTGACGTTTTTGGAGGCATAAAATAATTGAGAGATTAACTTGCAAAAAAAAAATGGAATGTGTACATTAAGTGAGGCTTCTTTTCAAAAACAAAATGTCCTTTTTCTTTTTAAAATCTGTAGGTTGCAATAAAAATAATCGATAAAACACGATTAGATTCAAGCAATTTGGAGAAAATATATCGTGAGGTTCAGCTCATGAAGCTTCTGAATCACCCTCATATCATAAAGCTTTACCAGGTAAGCGCAGGTTTGCCTCTCCCCGTTGCAAGTGTTTATTTTTAATTTTCAACAGCATTAAGTCTGCAATTTCTGAAGGTTGCCCCCTCTTTGGGGTTTGTGGGAGTCAAGAATTCGGTTATATAAGTAAATAGATTGATTTTTGTAAGCTGTGCAGATGTATTTACAATTATTTCTTGCTTTTGGATGATAGTTGAGATTTGATTCATTAAAATTGTTCTTGGTATTCTAACTTGTTGCCATTTTAAATGTGTAGAGGTGTTTTGTTAAATTTGCTTTACTATGAAAGCAAGCAACTGTAGCTGTAGTATTGCCATAGGTCAAGCATTTAGTAGGACAAACTTGAGTGAAACTAGAAACTTCAGCCTTTGCACATATTTATTAAACTTTAAAGGCAGTTGCTCTTACCAGTTTTCATTAATTTATCTTTTCCAAGGCAGTAGTGAACATTTGTGTTCCCTGCTTAAACTCTTCCAGTGAAGATTGGAGAGATGAAAATACTTTTGCCATAGTAAGAGCAGGAACTTGTCATCCAGTCTACATTAGGAACATGCCTCACCCTGTCTGCCCGTTGGTTTATTTTGTGACTTTATTTTTGTCCTCATGTTGAAATTAATAAATTGTATCTTTGAGAAATAAGTACTAATTTAATTAGAACAGCAAAGCAGTCTCTTACTTACCTCCCTAGTGGTAAATGACTACTTTTGCAAAAATGCAATCAGGTCTTCCTGCAGAAGAATAAATTCTTTGAAAGTGCTGTATACTTCATCCAGTGGTGTTGGGTATAAGTTCTTCTTAATCATTCTTATGAAACCATGTGAATCTGAGTTGATTCTGGGATGTTGTGTATGTTCGTGCGTTTGGGACAGCTAAGTGAACAGTCTGATAGGAGAATGATAATTTGAAATTATCCCCCAGAAGATTCTCTACTCAATTAAAATAAAGGTAGCAGGGTCGGTGGGACTCGTGTTCCACCACAGCACAGGACCCGTGCCATGTGCACCTGGGGTTCGCGTTTTGTTTCTGTTGTCATTTTAAAGTTGTGCTCGGAGATGATAAGTTTCCTCCGCGGGGGCTGACGTCACTCCCCGTGCAATGTGCGTGGCCCATTTCCTCGGGAGTGGGCTGAGCCGGTTTTGTTTTTGACTTTGCTGAAGGGCTGAACCCTGATGTTAGGACCTTCCATTTCTTCCTGTTCTTCCACTTGGCCATTGTGTAGAATTAGCCCAGTTAAGGAAACAGATTGCCCGTGCGCTGGATGCTGGAGGTGAATTTTCTTTTTGCTGCTGTATCTGGTTCTTCAGCTATTTGGAGACGAGCGCTTGGTGGTGTAGCATGCTTTTATTCCACGGGTTCTGAAGACGCTAGTTTTTGATTTCCATGCGGCTGGGGGGCCCCAGAGCCTGCCGAGCCCCTCCCTCCCTCCCTTGCCCTCTTTACTCTTCTCCCGGCTCTTCTCCCCGTCTGTGGTCAGGAACAGGAGTGAGTCGTCTTATGCGTTGTCCCCCCCACCCATTTACGGGCAGGGGCAGTTGAAATTCTAGTCAAACTGCTAGACTCTTAAAAACACTTTTCCGATTAGATTTACAGATCAAAGCAGTTGTCTTTGAAGTGTGTTTATAAAGAAATAACTCTGTTTCGAACACAAAGAAATCTTCTTCCATAAGAGTGTATTGTCTCTCTCCCTCTAGAATAGTTTAAAATACACACAGGCATCAGTTCTGTATTAAATCGCTTTTTTAGTAAAATAAAATTCTTGGCGAGCGAATGAACTCGTAGGGGCTACGCTGACGGCGGCTGTGGCGTCGCTGCACATCCAGGCGGCTGTCGTGGCTGTCGCGGCTCACCTGCGAAGCAGGCCTCCTGCGTCCCCATTGATCTCGGCAATAAAGCCAGTGGGATGGGGCGTTTGTTATCTATTATTCCGCTTGCTCTGGCCGCTGGCTTGAGTGATGTTACCCGCTAGGCTTCTAGAAGAAAGGCCAGCAGAACTCCAGCAACCTCTTTGGCATCTGCAGCCTGCGGAGTCCTCAAGGTGTGCGTGGGGCCAGCTAAGTTAACTGTGACGATATGGGGGGATTCTAACGTGATGTGACCTTTTGTGAGAGCAGGTTTATCAGGACAGGCAAGGAAGTTAGTGAGGAATTCACCTGTAATTTTTTTAAACTCTTTCTCAGTAGGAATCCCCTTTATTTTGGTTTGTTTGTTCGTTTTTTTTCTTTTTTACGTGATGAATACACTCATTCTAGAGAAGTTAAAAATCTACTGGGGTTCAAGTGGATCATTCGGATTATTTATATCATTGGTGTGTGTTCCTTTTTCTTGTGGTTAAATGTTAGGTCTGTATTTTTTTTAGGTTATGGAAACAAAGGACATGCTTTACATTGTCACCGAATTTGCAAAAAATGGAGAAATGTTTGGTAAGTCACACGTACTGTTAATATCTGTTGCAAACAAATAACTGATGTGTCCGGATTTGCTGGATGGCGTTTGGGTCTTCACGCCCTCAAATTCCACAGCAGTCCTTGTTTGCCCCCCAGGCGGGGGCAGACTTTGCATTTGAGGACACAGCTTGCTTTTGTCCCTCCTCAGATTATCTGACGTCCAATGGGCACCTGAGTGAGAATGAAGCGCGGAAGAAGTTCTGGCAGATTCTGTCAGCCGTGGAGTACTGCCACGGCCACCACATCGTTCACCGCGACCTCAAGACCGAGAACCTGCTGCTGGACAGCAACATGGACATCAAGCTGGCAGGCAAGGAGGGCCGGCGCGCGCCTGCATGGGAAGTGCTGTGGGGTGTGCGGCTGCCTAGAGCCAGGGTCTCGGGGTTTCATGCGCAACCTCTGAAACCGCAGCCCCTCCGTGTCCAGTCTAACTTTATCCATATGTTTCTTTGTCTCTCAGACTTTGGATTTGGGAATTTCTACAAGCCAGGAGAGCCTCTCTCCACGTGGTGTGGGAGCCCCCCGTACGCAGCCCCAGAAGTCTTTGAGGGGAAGGAGTACGAAGGCCCCCAGCTGGACATCTGGGTAGGGCCTGAGTGCGTGCAGACACCGTTTGGGAGGCCCCGTTCCCAGGGAGGGTGCTGGGTGCTCACGTATGGCCCTCGGTCCTTGACAGAGCCTCGGTGTCGTGCTGTACGTCCTCGTCTGTGGTTCCCTCCCCTTCGACGGGCCCAACCTGCCGACTCTGAGACAGCGGGTGCTGGAGGGCCGGTTCCGCATCCCTTTCTTCATGTCCCAAGGTGGGTAGGCACGGTCTCGCGGCAGGCGCTGCTGGGCGGGGAGGACCGAGTGGCTGTCTGCTGAGCCGCTGCCGAGGCTGGGAATCAGGCCCCGGTTACTGGGGGCTGCAGGGGAAACCCAACCCGCTGGGTGCTTTCTCAGTGCCCTGCTTCTAGGCCAGGCAGGTGCCCTCGCTCTGCAGGCTGACGCCAGTGCCTGGGGTGCTGGCCTTGTCCCCAAGTCTGATCTGCTGGCCACCACGCGCAGCACTTTTCCGTTTCACAAAGATGTTTGACCCATTGCCTACTCAAGTGTGTGCCGCCGCAGAACGGGGGAGTCTAAGTGATTCTATCTGGCAGACGTTTAGAGACCAAAGCCCGGCCTTCCAGGGGCCTGAGCCCCGGCTGGTGGCTCTCCGTGGGTGGCAGGTCTGAGCTGCCGGTGTAGTGCCTCTGGCCTCGAGTTCCTTGAGACAGTCACTTGTGCGTTTGCCCACGTGGGGTGGGGGGTGGAAACGTGCGTAGGTCCAGCTGCCCGGGGCTCAGTCTCTCTCGGTCTCCCGCAGACTGCGAGACCCTGATCCGCCGCATGCTGGTGGTGGACCCTGCCAAGCGCATCACCATCGCCCAGATCCGGCAGCACAGGTGGATGCAGGCCGACCCCTGCCTGCTGCGCCAGGCCTCCCTCGCCTGCCCCGCGCACGGCTGCAGCTCCAGCCCGGGCGACCCCGACGAGCGGGTGCTGGGCATCATGCAGACCCTCGGCATCGACCGGCAGCGGACCGTGGAGGTGAGCGCCTGCTCCCAGCCCCCAGCCCTCAACTGGGCCCGCGCACCGCGCCAGGACAGGGGTTGGCTTTGTCAGGAAAGTTAAAATGGGGCATGGGCTCGTCGAAGGGCCACCTTGCCCACCTCTCTGAAGGACATTCTTGGCCTGGGAACAGTCTTGGAACGGAACCTCCGTGGCCGCCCCCCCTGTAACCTCTCCTGCTCTCTGCCCTCCAGTCGCTGCAGAGCCGCAGCTACAACCACTTTGCCGCCATCTATTACCTCCTCCTCGAGCGGCTCCAGGAACACCGGAGCACCCCGTGTGCCCGCCCCGGGCCCGCCAGGCCACACAGGCCCAGGAGCTCAGACCTCAGCGGTTTGGAGGTGAGGGGCAGGCATCTCCTCCCAGAGCCCCGTCCCGTCCCTTCTCCTTGGGCTGTGTCCTCTGAGCCATGAGGCCCCAGCTCAGCAGTGCCCTGGAACAAGACAAGGGCCCCAGGTGGTGGGTGGGTCCCCGTGTGGGCGGCTCTGCGGGGTCCAGGCCCCACCCAGCAGCCACAGGCTCCTGACTGCCTGCGGGCCAGCAGCTGAGTACAGGCCTGGAGAGGAGGCACAGCCCTGGCGTCCCTGCTGCTCCAGAACCAGTGTGCTCTCTTGCGCGCCCCTGATGGCGTCTTTCCCTGTCTGCCACCCCCCCAGGTGCCTCAGGAAGGTCTGCCTGCCGACCCTTTCTGCTCTGTCCTGCTGTGCCCGCCGCCCCCGACCTTGGCGCAGTCCGTCCTGCAGGCTGAGATGGACTGTGACCTCCACAGCTCGCTCCAGGTGGGTGGCCCACCTTCTTCCCCGAGGTGATTCCCCCACACGCCGGGCTCTCAGGAGCCACAGGAAGTCACTGGTTTGTGTTTCTGCCGCAGCCCTTGTTCTTCCCGGTGGACGCCAGCTGCAGTGGAGTGTTCCGGCACCGCCCAGTCTCCCCCAGCAGCCTGCTGGACACGGCCATCAGCGAGGAGGCTCGGCAGGGCCCGGGGCTGGAGGAGGAGCGGGAGGCCCAGGAGCCCCTGCCCAGCAGCACGGGCCGGCGGCACACCCTGGCCGAGGTCTCCACTTGCTTCTCCCCGCTCACCCCTCCATGTAAGTCCCCGGGACGGGGGAGACGCTTGGTGGTTGGGCTTGTGGTGGAGGCTACGGTGGAGTGACGTGGGACAGACCTTGCTTGCCCCGTGGCCCCTTCTGATTAGATCAAGATCCGCTATTGGTTTCAATCCCTGAGACCCTGTACGTGGTCATTTTGGTTGAAATAACAGTGTGGCGTTTGGTCTACAACAGGGTGCACCCTGGGCCACCTCTAGGTGCTGGGAGGGCAGGTCCTTGGCCGGTCTCGTCTGTGTTCTGGGGTCTGAGGTCGGCTGATGGCCTGCCACCTGCTGTTGTACCCTCGTGGTGGCTCGCCTTTGGGGCTGCCTGGGCCCAAGCCACCAGTAGAGGCCCTTTTCCCACCAGGGCTGGGAGGAGGGATGTTACGGCCAGTGCAGATGCCGCCTCCACCAGTGGGCCGCACCGGGCCGGCTGCAGCCTTGGGGGTGCAGAAGCCTGTCCCTCTGCCGTGGCAGTCGGCCCCTCTGACTGCCCAGCCTTGGAGAGCAAGGGGGACTCCCTCAAGAGCACCGTGCTCCTCCCACAGGTATCATCGTCTCGCCCTCCGCCGTGGCAAGCCCTGCGGAAGGAACCAGCTCCGACAGCTGTCTGACCTTCTCCGCCAGCAACGGCCCTGCAGGGCTCAGTGGTGGTCTGGCCACTCAGGGGCTGCTGGGCACCTGCTCCCCGGTCAGACTGGCCTCGCCATTCCTGGGCTCGCAGTCCGCCACCCCTGTGCTGCAGGCTCAGGGGGACCTGGGAGGAGCTGCCCTGCTCCCCGTCAGCTTCCAGGAGGGCCGGAGGGCGTCGGACACCTCGCTGACCCAGGGTGAGCCATGCCCCTTTCATGCCCACTTCCACCTGCCCCAGGGGACACTCCTGTCCCTGGCAGCAGGTCACTTTGTCGTGGTGGCAGATGACATCCCCCATGGTCTACCAGGCCCAGATGGGACCAGTGGTGTCCCGGGTGGTCAGAGGTGCTATCCTGGCTTTGGCGTCCTGGTCTGCTGGGATGGACTCAGACCTGGACCTCTGAGCAAATGGCCTCCGTTGGCTGGTCCTAAAAGCACAGGGGACATTTCTGTGTTGGGTGTCTGACTTGGGACCGAGTTGGGGACCCACCTGGCTCCCCCCAGGCCTCCCTGGGGCTCAGGTGCTAGATTTGCCCTGTGCCGTGTGCAGCCCCGTCCTTCCCCAACCCCTCCCAGGGCTGGAAACCCCGTCAGCTGAGGCTGTCGGTCCTGGGCTGGAGGCGGGAGGTGCCGACCACTTGGCTTTACCCTCACAGGGCTGAAAGCCTTCCGGCAGCAGCTGAGGAAGACCACGAGGACCAAGGGGTTTCTGGGGCTGAACAAGATCAAGGGGCTGGCTCGCCAGGTGTGCCAGTCCCCCTCCAGCCGGGCCGCCAGGGGAGGCCTGAGCCCCTTCCACCCCCCGGCACAGAGCCCGGGCCTGCACGGCGGCGCGGCTAGCAGCCGGGAGGGCCGGAGCCTGCTGGAAGAGGTGCTGCAGCAGCAGAGGTACAGGCCCCTCGCCCTGGTGGGCCCCAGCCACGTGGGCTTGTTTCCTTGAGTGGCTTCATCTCTCAGGCGTCCCTTCCTCCTCCTGCTCCCGGGGAGGGGTGCGAAGCTGGGCCTCAAGCATCAGGGCGTTGGAGGTAGCAGCAGGCAGGGCAGGTCTCTGAGGCGGGAGTGGGTGCAGGTGGCAGGGAGTGGGAACGAGCCTGGCTGGCATCCGCGTTGCTGCAGAGGCAAGGTGGGAAACGAAAGGTCGGGAATTGCTCAGGGATTAGTCACGTCCTGGGGCCCTCCTCAGCCCAGCGCAGCTCCACGGGGTGGGCGGGCCCTGCGAGGCGGGCGACCTGGAAACCGATAGCGCGCCCGGGAGGCTGGGAACGCAGCCAGCTGAGTGACCGTCTGCGTCTCCTGTCTCACAGGCTGCTCCAATTACAGCACCACCCGGCCACTGCGCCCACCTGCCAGCAGGGCCCCCAGGCCTACACGCTCAGCCCTTGCGACGGCCCCGGGGCCGCCCCGCTCCCCAGCGCCCTCCTTGCAGCGGGGCTCCCGCTGCTGCCGCCCCCACTCCTGCAGGCCAGCGTCTCCCCGGTGGCCTCAGCGGCACGACTGCTGGACACCCATCTGCACATCAGCGCTGGCCCAGCGGCCCTCCCCACCACGCCCCCACCACCGCGCCTGGCCATGCTGGCTCCGGGCTGCGACCCCGCGGGGCTGCCGCGGGGGGACTGTGAGATGGAGGACCTGACCTCCTGCCAGCTGGGGACGTTCGTCCTGGTGCAGTGAGGGCCCCACCCTCGTCCGCGCACATCGGCTGCCTCTTCCAAGCAATAACTTCAGAGTATGTGAAGACATTATCGGACTTAAAGCCAAGAACTTTCTAGAAGCGAAACAAGCAATACGTTAGGTGTTTTGGCTTTTCGGTTTATTTTTCGTTTTTTTTTCCTTGCACTGAGTGACCTCAACTATGAATAGGGACTGGAAACTTTCTGAAGAAAATAATAACCTAGGGTGTGTCTAGCGGGCGGGTGGACAGGAGGGAGAAGCGGGACGGCCGGCAGTGTCCAGTGAGCACCCCCGTACAGATGGGGTGACGGGGCGGGAGGAGCCACGGGGCCGAGGGACCTCAGCTCCTCGTCCACGGCGTTCTCGTGGCCATGAGATGATTACCTCGGACGGACGTGGGGCGGCGGGTGGCGTGTGCGTGTGCGTGGATTGCTGCCCTATTCAGTTAACGTTCTCCACTTCCTGGAACGTTTATGCTTTAATGAAAACTGTGAACTTTCTGCTTTTGTGTATCAGTTTTAAAACAGCTCTAAATGGTCAGCCCAGGCGAAATAATCTACAAATTCTTGGAATTCTCGCTTCTGAAATCGGAGCCCAGAGGACAGTTTTTTCTTATTTTGGACGAGAAGTTTTATAAACTGCTCAAGAGTCAGTTTTCCAAGATTCTTTGGAGGAACCACAGGAAGAACCTAAAAGTGGGTGGGGGTGACTTCGAGGTGGTGGGGGTGACTTCGAGGTGGTGGGGGCTCTGTCCCAAGGGCCCCCAGGGGTCTTTGGGGAAGCCCAGGAGAAGTTTCTTCTGCTGCTCATCTTGTTTCCGCTGCTAATTAAGTTTCCATGCATTTCATTATCAGGGTCCGACAGGAACACCTGACTTGGGTGAATTGTGCAATACCGGGCGGCTGCGACCGGGCAGGACAGCGGGAGATGGGCTCGCTGGCCTGTGACCGCGCTGCGCTTGGGCCGGGACCTTCCCCGGCAGAGCAGCCCCCGCACCCAGGCCTGGGCTCTTGTTGCTGGGCTTTTGTTCAAGGAACATGAAAGGAGAGGTTTAGGTCAGTGTTTTTATAGCATTGTTTCTTTTTTTAAGCAAATACTGTATATGTATATAAACAGGGACAGATATACACTACTTATTTTTTATATTTTATACTACGCCTTTGCGTTCCTGGGTCATGTTAGGAAGTGTCCTGCCAGCGCCACATTTGTGCTGCAGGAGGGGCCGTGGGGCCTGCTCGCCCTTAGCGCTGGGTGGAGGCGGCGGGGAGGGCAGCCTGACCTGGCAGGTTCGGGCTCACCTGTGGCAGGTAGACTCAGGTGGTGGCTCTGGCAGCCGGAACCCTCTTGAATGCAACGAAGGAAACTTGCTGCTCCCCACTCGCTCTGTCTCAAGTCCCGTCCCTCTTCCTAGCCCCGGTGCCTTCAGCTTACTTTGGCTTCTACAACCTGCAGTATTAAACAGAGGTCGTTATGAAAGGGGGAAAGGTGGGTATTTTCAAAAGCCAAAGATTGACCCAGCGACTTGAGGGTAGGAGGAAGGCCGGTGCGTGCGGCCCGTGTCCGTGCGGTGGGCACCTGCTCTGTGCCTCTGGCGAGCTCACTGCTCCTCCCTGCTGCTCTGGGACTGCTTCAGGGGTGGGCGATCTGAAATCAGTACCTTAAGCTTTCACCTTAAAACACTAGAAACAGAGGAGCAAACTAAACCAAAGCCAGCAAATCCATTATCGTGATAAAGTGTCAGAAAATGCAAATTTATAGACAGAAAACAGGTGAGTGGTTGCCTGGGGCTTGGGGTGGGAAGGAAAATTGACTATAAACAGGCTGAAGGGATCCTTTTGAAGTGATGGAAAATGTTCTAAAACTGGATTGGAATGATGATTGTATAACTCTATAAAAGTACTTAAAATCATTGAATTATACAACTATGATGAATGGATTTAATCGCATGTAATTTATACCTCAATAAAGCTATTAAACTATAATGACCCAATTGGCAGTGGAAAATATGCATATATGTGTGTATGTACCACAAATAAAAGAAATTCAATTAATACTGAATTGAGCTATTCAGTGCTAAGCATAGGCATAGATTTGAAAATAAAAAAGAAATTTATTTAATACTGCTCCTTAAAATTTTATAGCCAATAAAATATCCTCTTCTAATTTTACCCATTAAAAGTGTAATATTTAAATAAAATATTCGAGGGGAAAAAACTCTTGACTTTTTCTCTTGGTTCACATCTGGGAGCTGTTTGCTCTGAGCTGCTCCGTTAAGAGGCCACGTCTTGGAGAAGAGGGGGGCCTGCCAGCTCCTGCACTGGCCTCGCCGCAGAGCGGGTGCGTTCCAGCAGCAGTGACAGGTGGCCCGTCACGCCCAGGGCCTGCCTACTCCTCAGGCCCCTTCCCCAGCAGCCGAAGTGCTGAGTCGCTGAAGGTCTCGACGCCAGGGCTGGCCGGGCCCCGGGTACTCTCGCCTCTCCCCGCTGTGGTCTCTGAATCTGACTACACATCAGGGATTTGGAAGAATCTCATGGCCAAACTGTCTCCTGGTCTAAAAGTCTTGACCACCTTCTAGCAATAGGGCAGGCACGGCTGTTTACAAGAACAAAGGACTCTGTCCATTTTGATTCTTGGCAACTGTTCTTGGTAAAAAAAAAAATTAAACAGAATGACCACATGATCCTGCAACTTTTCTTAATGGTATATGCTCGAAAGAATTGAAATCAGGGTCTTGAAGAGACATCCGCACACCTGTGTTCGTAGCAGCAGCATTCATAGCAGCCCAAACCAGGAGCAGCCCAATGGCCGTGAGCAGGCGAGTGGATGCGGGAAGCGCAGTCTCTGCACAGTAGAACGTTATTTAGCTGTCACCATGTACTGCGACGTGGATGAGCCTTGAAGACATTATGCTCCGTGAAATAAGCCAGGAACGAAAGGACAAATGCTGTTCAGTTCTACTTGTCTGAGGTCCCCAAAGCACGAAGTCCATGGGGACAGGCAGCAGAGCGCTGGGTGCCAGGGGCTGGGGAGTTAGTGTTTAATGGGAACAGAGTTTTGGTTTGGGAAGAGGAGAAAGTTCTGGAGATGGATGGTGGTGATGGTGGCACAACAGTGTGGATGTATTCAAGGCCACTGAACTGCGCACCTAAAAATGATTAAAATGGTGAATTCTTGTAGTGTTTTTTTTTACCACAATAAAAAGAAAAACAAATGTTTCTCTGAGGGGGGACACCCAGTGAGTGGATGGCAGCTTCCGTGAGGAGAGCAGGCAGGCGCCACAGGTAGGAGGACGGGACCAGCCACTGTCAGTGACGAGGTCTGCCGGGGACGCCACGGCAGCCCAGAGCATGAGGCCAGGCCCAGCCTCACTGTACACAGGGTGTCCCTGCATGGGTGACCTGGCCCGGGGACAGCCCCTCGTGTGGCTGTATGCGGTGAGACTCTGGCGGGGCCTCCAGAGCAGATGTCTCCTTGGTTTCTGAGTCGTCTCAGCAGTTGTTGCTGCCGCTCAAAAACGGAGCTGCCATCTAAGCTGCTGGCGCGGCTGACACTCAGCCGGAAGGCCGTCATTTGACAGAGGCCAACCCGGACCTTGCACCTCCAGGGACCTGCGATCGCACCGCGTGGAAGCCCCTGCCGGGCCGTGCATGTGCGGGAGCCTGGCCGACGCGGGGCTCCGTGCTCGGGCAGCCTCGTCGCAGCTCGGGGGCGGAGGAGAAGACGGGCGGCCGTGATGCGGGGAGCGTGTGTTTATTGTTTGGGAACGTGGAGCCCTGGAAACCAGGAGAGGCTTAGGCAGAGGCTTGTACCGGAGCCTCGGGCTTTCCCGCCGCAGCCCACTGAGTGCAGACTGGACGGGTGGGAGTCCCGGCCCAGCGCCACGGTCGGCCCCTCGTGGGGACGATGGTGTCCCATTGTGCTCCAGGCACCGAGAACATCTGGATGTGGGGCTCCCCCATCCACAGCCCCAGCTGCATGGGTCCGAGTCTCTGAGCCCGGCCAGCTCGGCCAGAGCTCGAGATGTGTCGTGAGGATGCCGTGGTGATGATGATGGTGAATTCGCTGCCTGAAAGTTGACGCCCCACTCACGGGGACCCTCACGGAGGCCGTGTAGGACCCTAGAACTCTGTCTGGGCTAATGGATCAGCTCATGAATCTTCCCAGTCTCTGTGCTGCAGAGGAGCCCACATGCCCGTGGGCGCTGGCGAGACCCCCTCGTGTGATCGCCCCTTGCCTGAGGGGTCCCGTCAGGGCCCCGCCAGGCCTGGCCCTGGGAACAGCCCTATCCACCAGGGCGTTTCCCAAGATGCTCCCATTGCGGACGTGTCTGTTCCTGTCGGGGGCTGGCAAGGTTGCGCTGCGCTCTGACGCGCCCTGCGCACACGACAGCACTTCTGAGCCGTAGGGTGCTCTCGGGTGCTGGCACTTTCTTTCTCCCAGTGCCTCTGGCAAGGGTCCAGGGGCAGCCTGGAGCTGCAGACCAGGTGGCTGCTTAAGTCCTTGCGAATACAAGACAGGGCCGTGCCTGACGAGCCCCGCCTGCAGGGTGGCACGGTGGCAAAGAACGTGGCCTCTGTTGTCGCACACCTAGGTTTGTGTCCCGGCTGTGCAGCCTTCCGGTGCTGCGGTGCTGGTCAGATGCCCAGACTGTGCTGTGCGTTACGCTCCTGCTCTCAGGACGGCGCACGTAGCAATGCCGTCTGCTTAGGGCTGTGTGAACACCTAGCCTGTGAGACGCTTAGCACGGTGCTGGCACGCAGCGGTGTCCCCTCGTGTCACCCTTAGGAAAAACGGAACCAAATGTCCACAAGGGAAGAGTTATCAGATGACCAGATTGCTAGATTTTTGGCTTCCTGTCTTGACGTTCTGTACGGGACACCAAGTCCTCTTGCAGAAGGGGGCAGAGCTGTCCCTAAAGCTGTGCTGGGTGCGTCTGTGCGCTTTCCTGTCAGCGGGAGCTGGTGGCGCTTTTGCCACCAGGCCACAGGACAGTAGGATTAGCGTGAGCGCACTTCGGGAAGAAGTCTCGCCGGGTGCCCAGGGATATTGTCTCCCAGGACGGGGCTGGCTTCTGTGTCTGTCCCAGCGTAGGACGAGGGTCTCAGGGACGCCAGGACGGGGCCTGCGGGAAGTCCCCCGCGGCACGTGTCTCTGCATGTGCTCGTCTCCCTGGGAGGCAGGAACCGAATCTGAGCTAAGAGGAACTGACTTGTTTGGGGGCAGAAGAAAAAGTGTTGTCCTCTTAGTTTTCCTTCCAGAATAACACCAGGGTGTTTCAGGTGGGCACGGCCACCCTGCGCGTGACGCACTTTTGGTCTGGGCAGGCGCTCAATCTTGGGTGCAGCTGGGCCGGAGTGGTGGTCGTGTCCAGGTGAAGGATTCCCCAGGGCCCACCTCGGGGTTCTCAGGGCCCGGCTGTGGGGCTGCGGCGCACGCGGGGGACCAGCACGGAGACGGGGGCTGGAGTCGGCTCCTGCGGGTGCGGCCCGTGTGGCCGCAGGGGCGGCGCGGGGCTGGGGGAGGGAGGGCGAGGGCCAGAGCGCGTTCAGTTCCTCTCCTCGGGGTCTGCTGGGGTCTCAGTCTGACTCACTCCTCTTTAATTATTTCACTTATTTGAATGTGATTTCTGTGAAAAATAGAAAGGACTTAAAAAATACTCAGGAAGCCCAGGTGACCAGAAACGCCTGCCCGTGGTTCCCCTTTCGTCTTTTGAAAAGCGCGGCCGGAATGAAACCGGAGGAATCCGGGCGGCGGGGCTCCCCGCGGGCAGCAGGGGGTTTCCTTCTCATGGGGGTGGGGGGAGGTCCCTTCCTTCAGTCACCGAGTGTGTCCACTTCCAGCGGGAGGTTAAGTGGAAAGCCTGGGCCCCCGGGTCCCAGATGGGGATTTGAAGACAGAATCTGCCTCCGAGAAACGTGTCCCCGGAACAAATCAGCTCCACTGGGGTGTCACTGACCTGCAGCCAAATGCTCCTGTCCTAAGCATGCAGCTCAGGGAATTCTGGCAATGTGTTGGCCTGTGTCTCCACCGTCAAATCCGTGTGCAGAGCATTCCTGTCACCAGAAAGCGCCCTGGGCCCATGGGGCTCCAGGCCGCAGGCAGCCGCTGACCTGCTTCCTGTCCCGTGGGCAGCTGCCTCTTCCTGAGTCCCCGCCAGTGGAATCCCACGTGTGGGCTCCCCGAGGGCTCGGCTCCTCTATCCACCTAATTATGTGGGGACGCAGCCTGGTGTTGCGTGGCCCGGGCATTCCTCTCAATGCTGAGTGGCAGTCCTGGGTGGTGACGGTCACGGCGGGTGTGTCACTCACCTGGGGGCGGGCATCTGCGTTGCTCCAGCTTGGGGCTATTATCAGTGATGCTGCTATGAGTGTCTGTGTGTGCGCTCGTGCTTGTGTGGACATACTGCGTAGCTCTGGGGTAACACAGGTCACAGTGCAATGGCTGGGTCGTGTGGTAGGACAGCCAGTAACTTTACGAAAAGCTGCCAAACTGCCCTCCAGAGAGGCGGCACCAATTTACATTCCTGCCCGCAATGTGCGAGACTCCAGCTGTCCCAAGCTGTCACCAACACTTGGTATTGTCAGCGTTTTAAATTTTAGCCATTCTAGGCCTGGCGTGGTGGCTCACGTCTGTAA